GCAGTGTAGCGCCGCGCGGCCTGCTCCAGTTGGTGCCCGGCAGCCCTGCGCGGCCCTGCCGCCAGCGCTGTGCCCTTGGATGGCTTTTTGACTACCCGAGTCCGTCAGTGCGTCGACCTACGATTCTGACAGCGTCGCTGTACCGAGGAGCAGCTCGCCACGCCGCGCCACGGCTCCAGCAGACGATTCCGAGAGTCGTTTTCGTCGCTCTGTCCCTCTCGCACCTGTTCGGGACGCCCCGTGAGTGGGAGAGAGACAGAGCGACGAAGACGACTCTCGGCAATCCCAGTCTCAGCCGCGCTCCGCTCCACCTCTCCGCTCCGGCCGTGGCTCCAGCGTGCTCCAGCGAGCTCCAGCCCACGGCAGGTTCAATGGCTCAACTTGAGCCGCGCACCGCGCGCCTAGCCTCGCAGCCTTGCCATAGGGCCCCGCGCCTCACAGTGGGCCAGAATAGCGGTGGAGGCGGCCAAAACTCCAGACGCGTTTTGAGCTCCAGAGTCGCTGAACGGGACCCGAACCAAACGTGTGACCCCACCAATGGATTCCTCGTTCGGAGAGCAATCCATTGGAGGGGTCACACGTTGGGCTCGAGTCCCATTTAGCGACTCTAGAGCTCAAAACGCGTCTCGAGTTTTGGCCGTCTCCACAGGTCTTCCGGCCCACTGTGCGCCTCTGCCGTGGGGCCCAAAGGGGCCCAGTGGGGTCAAGCAGGGGGCCACGAAGCCGGCAGACCAAAGCAAATCCCACTCCGCAGTCGGCAGCCAAACAAACAGCACTAAAAAAACGAGACGAATAAAAAAGGCCCCTCGGTTCTGGTGTTTGAACCCGCGACTGCTCCTGATCCGGCGCTTTCAACGCGGGTAATCGCACAGCGGCCGCTTTTTCTAGAGTAGCCGTGCCCCGGGGGCGTCGGGACGGCGTCGTCGGGACGCTCTGGGCAAAGCGACGTCCCCCCCCCCGTGCTTTTCCCCCGGCCGCCCCTGGCCCGGGCCGCGCAGTTACAGAGCGCAGCGCCGCGAAGCCACGGCAGGCGGCCAGGCAGAGCAGCCAGCCAGCGACTCTTTTGTTCAGTTTCGAAGGGCCCGGCCGACGGGCCGAGGCCGAAGGGCCGACCGACCCCGTTCGGTTTCATTTCCTCAGGAAATCCTCTCCGCCGCTCCGCAGCCAGCCAGCAGGCCGAGAGTCGTTTTCGTCGCTCCGTCTCTCTCGCACTCACGGGGCGTCCCGCGTCGGTGCGGGAGAGACAGAGCGACGAAAACGACTCTCGGAATCAGTCTGCAGCCATCCGCAGCCCCGCAGTTACAAAGGAGGATAAGTAGTGCGGTTGTCGTCTTCGATTAGTTCCAGCCGTCGCCGCAGCAGTCACGGCGCGCTCGCCTCGCTCCGCCGCGTACCGCCTCTCTCTCTCTCTCTCTCTCTCTCTCTCTCTCTCTCTCTCTCTCTCCCTCTCTGTCTCTCCCTCTGTCTGTCTCTCTCTCTCTCTCTCTCTCTCTCTCTCTCTCTCTCTCTCTCTCTCTCTCTCTCTCTCCTCTCTCTCTCCCGCGAGGGTGGTCATGTATTAATCCAGGGCGCCGCGATGTGATCGGCGTCCGTCGGCGTCCTGGACGACGCCGTCGTGCAACGCGCACCGCCGCGGTCGGCGCCGGGAGGCCGGAGACGTGCGTGCGTGCTTTTTCCATCCCGCTAACGATTTCCCCCGCGGGACGCTTCCGGACGGCGCCGGCCGACGTCGCTCTGCCTCTCTCTCTCGCACGCGAGGGAAGTCCCGCCGGCCGCGCGCGGCGTGAGGGAGACGGAAAGCAACCTTCGGAGTCGGTCCGCAGGGTGCCACATCTCGCAAACGGCGAGAGTCACTTTCATAGAGCGGCCACAAACAGAACGGCTCCATAAAAATTAAGGCGCACTGCGCGCCGCGCACCGCATGGGATGGCGCGGCGCGAGACGCACTATGGATACTTCGGCGCGTCCTGCGTCCTCCTCTTGCACGCCGATTCCGAGCGCTGCTGTCGTCGCTCTGTCTCTCTCGCACTCGTGCAGGACGCCCAACGAGTGCGAGAGAGAGAGAGAGAGAATACAAGAGAACGAGATGAAAAGAGAGAGGAGAGAGAGAGAGAGAGAGAGAGAGAGAGAGAGCGACGAGAACGGTGCTCGGAATCGTCGCTCTGCTTGTGCACTTCTGCGATGCGCTCATCGGGCGTGCCTGGGAGCGCGACCCTTCGAAGTCAGGCGATTATGTTAGAAACTTCCAGGCGCGTATCAAGTCTCTTTTTGTTGTAAGGAGGGAGGAGGGGGGGGGGGTAAAGCGTTGCTTTCTGCCAACTTACGGGGGCAAAGAAGTGCTATTGCAGACGGCCTATCTAGTACCCACGAAGGGGTAATTACCCCCTTCCCTCTCTCCTGGATCCGCACCTGGAAACTTCGGCGGCCGCGGGTGCGTTCGAGACGGGAACCACCACGCCGCCGCGCAGGGCCCCCTACTGTACACTGCAGAAATCCGTTCAACTAGACGCGAAGCAACGCACAGCAACGCGCAGCAAGGCGCGGCCGAACGCAGGCCCACCGGCAGGGCAGCGACAGCGTGGGAACACTAACAGGACCATCTCGGCGTGCTGGCGGTGCCTCCCCCGCCCCGCCCCACGCCGCCCCACAGTGGGCCAGAAGACCGGTGGAGGCGGCCAAATTTCTAGACGCGTTTTGAGCTCCTGAGTCGCTCAACAGGGCTCGAACCGAGCGTGTGACCCTATCAATGGATTCCTCGTTCGGAGAGCAATCCATTGGTGGGGTCACATGTTCGGTTCGAGTCCCATTTAGCGACTCTGGAGCTCAAAACGCGTCTGGAGTTTTGGCCGCCCCCACCGATCTTCTGGCCCACTGTGCGCCCCGCCACCAAAGCCATGGCTTGGCATGGCCGTCAATGGGACGACGCGGCGCCGCGGGGTTCGATTCTCAAAGCGAGTCCGGGGAAGTTTCCACACGCAGTGCCGCCCGATCGCCAAAGGATCGGCCCGTCGCCCTGTCTCTCTCGCTCCCGGACGGCACGCCCCGCGAGTGCGACAGAGACAGAGCGTCCCGCAGTCACAATCAGCGGCACGACGGCCTGCCTGACTCCCTGGCGCCGCCAACGCGGTGCGTTAAAAACCCATAAAACGTGAAAATGACAATTAAACTGTGGCCGCCCCCCTGCCCGCCACCGACGCAAAGTGCTGCCGAAAACAAGAGAAACAAAAACAAAAACAGAATCAAGGGTCCCGACTTTTTTGATTACGCTTCCCGGAGAGGGTCTGGGCGGGGCGGGGCGGGGCGGGGCGTGGTTGCGCGAAGCGGAGCATGGCGCGGCAAGGCGCGGCGGCGTGGCGGTGCCGCCGAATCAATTTTCGTCACCTCCCCGAGTCATCGTCAACAACAACGTCCGCCGTTGCCATGGCGACGGGGCCGCGCCGCAATCAAAGTCATTTGCTCACCGCGGCGTGGCCACCGGTCGCACCGTCTCTCTCGCACTCGTGGGAGGGGCGGCCCTCCGGGGCCGAGGGAGAGAGAGAGAGAGAGAGAGAGAGAGAGAGAGAGAGAGAGAGAGAGAGAGAGAGAGAGAGAGAGAGAGAGAGAGAGAGAGAGAGAGAGAGAGAGAAAGAGAGACGGAGAGCGCCGCCACCGTGCCGCCGCGATTAGGGCGAACAACGTAAACGCGCTTTAGGCTCGGGAAAAAAAATAAGAGGACGACACTGTAGCGCACCTCGTGGCAGTGGCGTGGTTCTGCCCCAACTTTCGCCCCCTGGCCCTTTTCACAAACACACACAGACACTGACACACACACACACACTTTTTACAAAAATTACAACCGCGGCGCCGCGGCGTGCCCTCCTCTTCCTCCATCGGCGGGACGCATATACGCGCGGTTATAACGACCCTAACGAGAGCTCCCATCCAGGCCGCGCGCAGCGCGCAGGCCGTCCCGCAGACTCATTCCGAGAGTCGTTTTCGTCGCTCTGTCTCTCTCGCACCCGCAGGGGGCGCCCCATGAGTGCGAGAGAGACAGAGCGACGAAAACGACTCTCGGAATGAGTCTGGTGCAGCGCGCACTTTCCCGGCCGACGACGCCACGCGTTGCTCCACGTTGCTCCGCGGCGCTTCGCGAAACGCACTCCGTCCGCTTGGCGGTGCTTCGCGGTGCTTCGCGGTACGCACTCGGCGTGGCGCGGCCGCACCCCCGGCAGTCCGTCTCTCTCGCACCCCTGCGGACCGCCGGGCCGCTCCGCGAGTGCGAGAGAGACAGAGCACGCGGGGCGCCGCCGGGGATCGTCCATTAATTATGACGCAACGCCGCGCGGCCGGGCGGGCACAGCGGGTACGCTGATAAACCGCGGACGGAAAACGACCGCGCCGCGCGGCGAGAAGCCGAACCGCGGCGATTCCCTTCTCGCTCACGTGATG